CGACCTAAGATCGATCTTCGAGAAATAGCTCGAACCTTGCAACTGGTCGAACAGGTCATCGATCCTCGGCAACGGGTACTTGTTCTTTATTGTCGCTTTATTCAGCTCTCTGTAATCGATGCACATTCTCATGCTCCCGTCTTTCTTCTTTACAAATAACACAGGGGCTCCCCAGGGTGATGAACTAGGTCGAATGAAACCTTTGTCCAATAACTCCTGAAGTTGTGTCATAAGTTCTTTCATCTCTGTTGGTGCTAATCGATACGGTGCTTTTGCTATCGGCGTCGTTCCTGGTAACAAGTCGATACGAAATTCTACTTGTCGATCAGGGGGCAATCCGGGAAGATCTTCGGGAAAGACTTCCGGATAATCACACACCACCGGAATATTCTGCACCTCCTTCTTTTCCTTCTTAGCATCGATCACGAACGCTAGATATGATGTACACCCCTTGGCCAAACACTTTCTGGCTTTCATTAGGGAAATGATTCCAGAATTTACTCTGCGTTTGTCTCCATACACCATAAACGACTCTTTCCCTGGCGGGTTTACTTTTACTATCTTCTTCCTACACATATTTCGGCATCATTGGCGCTAAGCCAATCCATTCCTAAAACTATGTCGAATCCATTTAACTCGATAGGCAATAATTCCTCGTGGAACTTATTCCCATCCAAGTCAATGAGGATGTTTTTCATACGATGGCTAACAGGTACAAACTTGCCACTAGCAATCTCGACTATTAAAGCATTAACTAGTCTATCTACAGGCAAAGCTAGTTTTCTACCAAATTCATGCGAAATAAAGGAGTAATTGGCTCCAGAATCAAACAAAATTTGGGCAGGCAATTCGTTTACGAGAAAGGTACCTGAAGCGACATCGGCTTCTTCTTTCGCAGCTTCGAGTGTCATCTGAAAGGCTCTCGCCTTCGGCTTTGGTGGAAGATTGGGTTTTGCTGCGTCCTTCTTCTTCGGGCAATCCCTCAAAATATGCCCTTCTTCATGGCACCCATGACAGACGTTATTAGTGAAGGTGCATTCATTGGCATAATGCCCTGGCTTTCCACACTTGTAACAAGTGATTCCCACGCTGCATTTCCCAGCATGTTTCTTCTTGCACTTGTCACACCACTTGGCTTCGGCTCCTCCTCCGAATTTTCTCGAACCAGACTTCGAGAATTTGTTCTTTTTATTGGAACCTGAAGTTCCTTCAAACTTTCTCTTTTCGCCAACTTCAACCTTGCTGGCGGCTCTCCCTTAATCATATCTTCAACAGACTTGGCAGCCCAGATAGCTGCCTCCAAAGTAAGTGCCTGACGTACTGGCACCGCATACTCCCATGGAAGTCCCTTTGCGTACCTGTCAATTTTTGCCAGCTCATCTGGGACAATACGCAAAGCAAACTCCATTTTGTCTGTGAAGTTATTTGTATATTCGTCAACGGTCATACTCCCCTTCTTCAACGTTAGAAATTGGTTTTCTAACTCAAGTACGTTTTGGGCCGAGCAGTACTTGCGCTTAAAGTGCACCAAGAACTCTGCCCAAGTCAGTTGCAGTGGCTCATTAGGGCTTAGGGTTTTCCCCAAGTGTTCCACCAACGAGCAGCACTACCCCTGAACTGACGCACTGCAAATGTGGTTTGTAACTTGCCTTGGCAATCACAAGTCATGAAAGCCAATTCCATTTCCGAGATCCAGTCCATTACTCCGACAGGATCTTCTTTTCCAGTGAAGGTCGATGGCTTGCAAGTCATAAAGTCCTTATACTTGCACCCATTTCTCTCCACTCTATCCTCGTGGTTATTTCTCCCAACCACGAGCGGTTCACTATGACCAACCGATCTGCTGTTGTTCCCTTCTTCAGATCGATCGTCATTTAGTTCACGTTGTTCAACAGGAACTGAAGGTTCATCCCTGTTGTTCAGCAACATTTGCCTCAATTCCTCCCTTTGTTCAGCCATCATGGTCTGAATCATAGTTCGTACTCCAGCCATGGTGATGGGTTCGGGTGCAGCTCCTACTATAGGCACCTGTTCCACCACTTCGGGTTGAGGTTGTTGGTTTCTGTTTGCATTTCCCGCTCCACTTCGAGTTCTTGCCATTACAATCTATATACCGAATAAGGCGAATTTAGGTCTTTATCCTTGTTAGATATTTCAATTCCCTTATCACTCCGAAACGTTTACATGTTAGTTCTAATCTCGTAATCATACGCTTAGAATCCTACACACATAAGGTTTCCAGATCCGGTCGGCAACAGACCATAGATCCGAACAAATAATGGCATATATGGCAAACATATAGCATTTAGCACATAAAAGCATTTTAGGCACCTTTCCTAAAATAAACTAGTGCTCGTGTCTAAAATATGGTAGACACTCATCTCACAATCATCACTTAGCATTCTAAGTTTAAGTCTAGAAATCCTACAATTTCTTAGTTCGCTTAAACTAATGCTCTGATACCAACTGTGACATCCCCTAATTTCTCGGCCAGAAAAGACCGATTTAATTTATGCTTTTAAAACAAAGTCAGAGAAATCTTTTAAAAGATGTTGCGGAATTGGTCCCCAAAACAAAACATGATAAAAGTTTATCAAAACCTTTCTTTAAGAAAGTATATATTTTCCATATATATCAAAACCTCGGGATGTCATGTTCCGATACAGATCAAAAGCATAAACAAGACATTATAAGCCTTACAACAGTTATTTACAACTACTGGCCTATAATCAAAAAATCTCTCATCGTCCTCCGACTATGCTCGGGGTCCACTACCTGTAACATAAAAAGCTGAGTGGGTCAGGCTTGGGAGCCTGGTGAGCATATAGGGTTTTCAACCCACAATAATAATAAACTTATTAAGTTCACCAATCAACAATAACCCTGATTACCCATTCCCGTTGTCCTCACTTTACGTCCCTAAACACCTATCACAAGGGACCTAGCCTAAGGAATATCATCGGGTTGGACACTACTGCTAAGGGGACTCCTCAGCCATACATGTCCTAAAGGCAACCATGAGGGGGATTGGAGTACGCCAATGAACATTTAGTTCATCAACACCTACAAGTTGCGAACTTGCTAGTGTACCACTGGACTGTCTAGAAAGGTCAGTGATCGTCATCTATACTCCGCTAGACGACTACAAAAACAACAACAACAACAACAACAACATCGAGGCCTCTCATCATTTTAACACCCATCGACTATTTCGTCTACCCATGTTCTACCCAACATATTTGTAGATAAAATACATATACAGTTTAAAACTTGTATAAAACATCTGTTCAACAGTCACCTCAAATAAACAATTAATATATTTACACATAGCACGTATTTTAAGGTAAATACTTCATATCTATGTGTAAAGTGAAAGTAACTACACACTCACATGATTTGATGATAATCGGGCAGCAATTCGTTTCCTAAAACGATCGTTTCTAATAAAACCGGGAGTTTTATTGAGAAACCGGGCTCTGCGAAGGTCGGGCTTCGAAACCGAAAAGATAAATTTTTCGGGCTTCTCGGGCACTTCGTGGCGTATTCCGGGGGTTATAATTGATACCGGGGCTTTGGGGGATGTTAGAATGAAAGAAATATGGGTTTAGGGGCTAAAAGTGACAAGTTTTCCAAAATATCCCCGGGAGGTCTCGCACCCTCTATTTATAGGGGCCGAGGCTCCTGATCCAAGGGCTGAGAAGCCTCCACGCGTCAGCAGATCCGAAGGCTCGCAGGTGGCTCACACGTGGGCTGCGCATGCGAGGGGCTCGTGGCATGTTTCTGATTGGACCGAAGTCCGGGTCGAGGAGGGGGGGTCCGTGCGCCATGCGAAGCTCGGATGCACGAGGAAAGGGCACGCGTCGCAGCTTCCATTGGACCACTTCGGATTAGCTCTCCGGTTTCGATGACTCAGCAATATTTCGGACACCGTCGGAATGCCGAGGCGAAGGACACGTGGCCGAAGTCCACGTATGCGAAGATTTCTCGTTTTGGAATATTTCTCGATTTTCGCGCCAAAACTTCTAAAATCCATAACTTTCGCATACGAGCTCCGTTTTTGACGTTCTTTATATGCACGCGTAGGTAAAATTACGCTCTACAACTTTCGTTTAGACTTCGTCGGCTAATTTTGAATTTAATTTTTATATTATTATTTTTAACAGACCGGGACAGGAAATCCGTTAAAAATTCATAACTTCTTCATCCGACGTCCGTTTTTGTCTGTCTTTTTACCGTTGTGCTACTATTGACGAGACCTTCGATTCTCGTTTAGGTCGTTTCGGCTAAAAATCACTCGATCTAAAATTCGAGTTTTTTAGCTGTCTACTGCTAAGCTGAAACTTCGAAAAATCATAACTTCCTCATACGAAGTCAGATTTGGGCGTTCTTTTTATACATACTCTCGGTTTAACGAACACTACGAGTTTCGTTTAGATCACTAAGGCTAAAAAGTAGTTTATCAAAAACTCACTTTTTACGACATTCGGCACCGTGCCGGTTTTGTCGCGAAACTTCGACAGGTCATAACTTCTTCGTTATAACTCGGATTTCGGTATTCTTTATATATCCGTAATCCTTGTCACGACCACTACAACTTTCTTAATAGATATCGGCTTTATCTAATATTTATTTTCGATGCTCATTTTTATTCTTAATTAATTAACTCCTAGTAATTAAGCATAAAACACATAAAACACATAATATTCACATAATTCCTTTTCATTTCTTCAAAATGAGTTACAAAGGTTAACCTAGACTATCACATCAATATTAATGCCTAGCCTAGAAACACGAGTGATACAATGTAGGCTGTGGGATTTAGCTGGCATCCTTTGTGTGCATGCAAATGCAACAATTAATTTTATCCATCAAACACCAGATGCATACATCAATGCATACGTCTCTAAAAGATAAATTTAGGCTGTGGTTACTCAACAACTTGAACCTGTAATGGCAGCAATCTTTGGGCCCAAACCGAGTACATTAAGCCATTGCCTCCAATGTCTAGGAGGATGCCTGGTAGGCCTGCTACCAAAAGAAAGAGGCATGCCAGTGAAAAGGAGAGCAAGTTTTCAACAACAAAAGTGAAGGTTGCAAGAACTACCAGATGTGGTAATTGTTTGGAATATGGTCATAACAAGAGGGCATGTAAGAATGAGAGAAAACAATATGTGCCTCCCCCACCAAAGAAGACAGGAAGGCCAAGAAAACATCCCATCCCCCATGTATCTGTTCCTAACGAGTCACTAAATAAGAGAATGACAGAAAACAATACTACAACTCCTGGTCAACCAAATGTCCCCAGTCAACCTTCATGCTCTAACATAGTGAGCAGGAGTCCAAGAAAACATAACACATTAAGGATGAGTCCAAGAAAACATCAGCAACAGGTAGGTTCTAAAGATTTAGGAGAAATAGTATTGATGCACCTAGGAAGAAGTTGTGCACAAGGAGAGGTGGTGGAGGATTGGTTCTTCTGCCAAAACTGGGAAATAATACTCCAACTTAGGTACTCAAGAGAGTGTGGTTCAACAAGTTCCAGGTGCTGATGAGGGTGAAAATGTCATGCAAGAAGGTTATAATGTGGGTCAAAGTGTGGTTCAATAAGTTCCAGTTGTAGAAGTTCCTACTGTTGTAAAAGAAGGTGTGGTGCAGGAAGAAGGTGTTGTGCAAGAAAATGTGTGTAGGAGTCCAGTAATTCATATTCAGGATGGTCATATGATGCAAGAAGGAGGAAACTAGTCAAACAATGTGATGGAAGGTAGTGAAACTTTGGGCAAGTAGGATCCAGTATTGGTTGGAAGCTTAAATCAATAAATGATGAAATTGAACAAGGTATTGATGCAATTTTACAAGAGGTTAACTTCACAAACAAAACAAAGTCCAGTCCACTAAATGGTGACAATGAGGTGGAAGATAATGATGTTATTGAGTTTACTGAGGGAAAAGAGGATGATATTCTCCCAGAGAAGATACAAGTAGGACTTGAAGACATTGCTAATATGCTAGAAGTTGGTTATAGCATGGCAGAAATAGAAGCTATGCCAGGGGTACAAGTGGAATTGGATGATTCCCTACCAGTTGAACTGGTATGACCTGTTATCTTTTATTAATTAAAATTTTTTCTGGTGATTTTTGTGAACTAACTATATCTTTTTACACTAGGATGTAAATGATTTTATTGATGGTCATCATTCTGATGATGATGTTGGTCTGGATGGTAGAGCTGAAGGTGCTGGAAATGAAGCTATTGGTGATGGTGATGGACCTGAAGGTGATGCTGATGGACCTGAAGGTGGTGTTGAAGAATTGGGTGATGATGAGGAAAATCAGGGTGATGATGAAGGACATGAGGTTGTCCCAATGGTTAGGAGAACAAGGAAAACATCTAAGAGGATTACCAAAATAAAGCTAAGGAAGGGTGTCTATGACAAAGATGGTGGTGGTTCTTCTTCTGTAAAGCCAATCAACTTGGAGTAGTTTTTTAGCAAGAAGGGGGATGGGGGTGTAGTGGGATGGTATAGGTTTCCACTTTTGTAAACTTTGTTTTTTGGCATTTTGATTGTAGGGTTGCCACTTTTGTAAACTTTGTTTTTTGGCACTTTGATTGCAGCATGCATCCAATTGTTACCATTTAGGTTGCCTTTTTTGTGCATTATTTAGGCATTTTGGTACAAATGGATGGCTGCTACATATGTGTAGTGTGTAATTAAACTATATGTAATGGATACACCCCCATCTATATTATGTTTAATCTTTTAGAATTGTTACCATTCACCAATTGTTTCTTCAAATTCATACCAATTACCATTTTAATTCAATTACCATTTTAATTAAACTTGTACTATAAACTATAAATCAACCAACTACAAATTCATACCAATTACACTTGTAATGGATACATATTGGTAGTATGTAATTAAACATGTACTATAAATTTATATATATACTAATTTTAAACTACATGATGAACAGTTCTTCTATGTGATTGGTGGGGTTTTTTTTAATGTTTTTCTTTGAATTTTTTTATTTGGGTAGTATAGATCTGTCTGATTCCACCGCCTCCCTATGTAGCCAATAAAAATGAGATCAGTGGCCTCTCCACCGCTAATTTTAAGATTGGTACGTGTCCCCCACCGCCATCATCCTCCGATAAATCCTTCTTAATCCTTCTTGGTGTAACCCCCACCGCTCCACCGACTGATCCTTACACTCATTTTCCCCATTCTCCTCTATCTATGTCAGATGAAGGACCATTTTTTCTTCATTGATTTGTTTTCCGATCATTCCACTTCTTTCGCCGCTATATCCCCACCACCTCTCCAAACCCTTCGTCTCTCTCTAAAGTCATCCACATCCAAGAAAATCAGTCCTCCACCGCGTGTCGTGCATTTGCTATCAGCCCTCCTCGGATCTTCTTCTACCCCCTGCTCCCTCCTCCATCCAAACACAAAAGGGGCATCGATTACATTACATCGTCTCCACCTTCGTCGTCTTCCTTCTCTGCTTTGCATCAGGTAATCACTTCCTCGAATACCGTCAAAGCTCCACCGACTTGCTTCCAACTATTCATAAACCTTTTGAATCGGTTCAGTTAAGAACGATTTTGTGTTTTATAATAGGTTCTAAAATGCTAGAGTTGGATCGATTTTGAAACTTCCAGTTTCAGAAGCCAAATTTGTGAACTAATTGGCGTAATTGCAACTGCGCCTAACCCTACAAACACCGCTTCTACAGTATGTTGTCGCAAACGAGCCCTAACACTTCGAAGAGCCCTGATGATCCTTCTATAGGTCTCTATAAACTCAGATTAGACCCAAATGGATATCCGCATGTATTTTTGGGAGAAGGTCAACTTGATAACTTTAGGCTAGCACCATGGAATGGTGTTGGGTTTCGTGTAGTCATCTTCCTGCTCATCTGCTCTTCCTCAAACGTTGGTATTGTGTTTATTTGTCTGTTTCTGATATTTCCTCTAATTTCTCATATAAACAGTATTGATGTAAATTTCAGGGAAAACTAATCGACCTCCACTTCAGTGAGAATGGAAAAATATCAGGTGCAGGTATCCAAGCTGTACTCCTATTGTGTGCAGTAGTATATGTCTACAGAAAGAAAATAAATGCCTCACAAGAAACGGAGAGGTAAAAAACAAGCATGCTTACCATTTAAAATTATGATTTTTCTGGTAGATTCATTTAATCAAGGGAAATTGAAATGAGTTTTTTTGTAGAAAATGCACATACCCTTAGTTATGAGGATGATACCGGTTTTCATTAGTTTTTTACAATTTTAGGACAATATTGCCTGCTACGGGTGGATTTATCAGCAGGTATCTCTTTCTAAATCACACACACACACATGAAAATCCATCGTTGGAGGTAAGGTTTTCTCACTGATCTTTACTTTTCCTCAATGTTCTTTGATGTTTTACATTATAATTTTCTCATCAGTATATGTAGATAACTTACAAGAAGATTGTAAAATGAGGTGTATTTGCTATAAATTTTTGTTGCAGAAGCTTTTTGGAATTTGTTTATGAGTAACTAGACACATATGAATGGAGAAAAGACTGCAGCTCCTTTTTCTGTTATGCGGCAAAATTGGTAAAATACTGACCCCAATTTTGCCTCTAATTCTTTAAAATTTATGTTTTCGTTTGAAGATTGAATCCTTTGAAGCCACAGATTATTTTTATTTTTCATTAAACCCTTTACCAGGTAATTACTATATGAAGATATTTCACCTTTAGAAAATCCAAATGGGATTAGCTTTGCACCTTGAAGCAATCAAGGTATTTAACTTTCTATTTGGTGAACCTTAATTATATACTACTTAATTAGGTTAGTAATTTAAGCACTTTTTGTGATAAACGTGGGAATTCTTCAATCTTATAGGTAACCTTGGAAGTGTTTGTCTTTGAACTTCAGTTAATTACTTAAATTATTGAACTATACAAATTTATTCACCAAAAAAATCCTATGTTTCAAAGATTTGGCTTTAGAAAAGTATTTTTTTTACGATTTCTTTTCAACACATTTGTATTGTTTCCTAATGTTGAATCTGAAGTTGAGGTTGATTTAATAAAACAGGATTGTATTTTCACAAATGCATCGAATTATAGCTGTTGTAAACCTGAACTGATCTCATTTTGAAGTACAATGTTGTAATAAGGCCATCCTGTATACACATCACGAGAAGGCTCGTGGTGTGTATACACCTCATCATCTTCTTCTTCCACCCTCCTTCCATTCTCAATCCGGTATAGTCACAACGAAGAAATGTGGTCGTTGTGGGTGTAAGCTGCAAGAGAGAAGAGGAGAGGAAGAGAGAAGAAAGAGTCCGTCGTGAATTGTGGTGGCCAACACGAGAGACCACGCTCGTGGTTCCAGATCAGCACCACGAGAGGAACGGGATGGTGTGCACGGAAAACCACCGTGGCCACCTGGACCACGAATGGCTTCGTGATACCCATACCAGACGGCCTAAAGGGTGAAAGTAGAATGCTATAATGATAACAAAATAATTGAAAAGTACATTGCTTGATGAACTTGCCCCTGGAAACTGGATTGGAAGCAATCCTTACCTTCAATGTTCCTGAAGGAAGACCTGGCAAGGTATGTTTTGTGTTTTTAGACTGTTGACCCTTTTGTTAAATAACTACATAATAACTGCATTTCAACAAATGAACTATTTATGAGTTTATATTAATAATGCAATGTCAAAATATTGATTTATTATTTTTTTCTTTTTTGTTAAGTTATGTTTCAGGTATTGATTTATGACGTCTTTCTTGTGTGAATTGGTATCGATTTATAACTACATAATTCTTAGTATTTGACTTACTACCAAAGGGTATTTACGTCTTTTATGGTCTACGCGAAGTGCCTTATTCTTATGATGTTTACCTTTTCAATTTGTGCAGGAAAAACTTACTGATGCTGGTGGTTAGATTGAGTCACCCGGAACACACATAAAACAAAAAAGTAGTTAAAAAATGATATTTTTTCAACCAATTTTCTTATAGTTAATTATGCCCCTCTTGTGAGTTTTTTTTAATGGATTTTGTTTTGAAATATATTAATCTTTTGTTGGTGCTCAGTACATATGATTCGGTTACATGTTAACCAATCTAGATTCCGACTGCTGGTACCTTTCACATCAGAGGTGGAATTACTCTTTTTCAATCATAGTATTCAAAAAATTTAGGTTCTGATTTGTGATTTACTTTACTGTTTTGTGCAGTTTATGTTTTTTTTTTGGCTGCTTCCTATATGTTTGAAGTTACCTGATGTTTTTCTTTTTTGTAGGCTGCTCCATTCAGATACCTCCTGTTTCTGTAAAGTTAAAATCTCAAAATACCCTTCCATGTCATTGAGATTGTTACAACTTACAATTGCATTATACAGTGCCATATATGGTCCAACTATACTTGCTGAGGAGCTTGATTTGATTACAAAAATGTCTTTTTTAAAGCCTATTAAAAATAACATTTTGGTATTGCATTTATCGGAAGTACAGTTACAGTTATCGCTTGATATCATTTTCTCAACTACTAAAATTCTCTACTTTCTTTATTGTAATTGTTCAAATTTACCAGCAGTTGACTTCATTTCATATAAATAATCTACCAGTATGATCATCCCATTATACTTTTTGTTGATATTCATTTCCTTGGCTTAGGTGTTAAAAATAAGATGCTCACTAGGTCCATTAATCTCATCACTAAGAGTTCCCAAAAGATACAAGGGTGATGAATGATTTTTTTTGGATGAAATGTAACATCTGGATCAACTCAATTGCGTAACCAACCCCGCAACGCGGGATTCTTTCCTAGTTCATACCAATTAACATTTTAATTTAATCTACTCCAAATTCATACCACTTGTTACATTTACTGAAATTACAATTATTACCATTCACCAATTGTTACCATTCAACAGTTTCTACTCCAAATTCATACCACTTACCTTTTTTTGTACTCCAAATTCCATTTACTGGAATTAATCATCCAACATTGCAATTAACATCCATTTACTGTAATACCATTTTATGCAATATACTTACAAAACAAACCAACTTGTACTCCATTTAACATCCATACACTACAAATTAACATCCATACATTGCAATAAACATCCATACATTACAAATTACAATCCTAACATTACATATACCTACCAAAGTATCAAATACCATCAAAAGCTACATATTTCATACCATCAAAAGCTACATATTTCAAGATCACAATACTAGTGGCGTAACAACCAACTGCCATTAAATCTTGAATACTGCTAGAACAAGCAAGAATAATATAGCCCCTAACAAAACAACAACCATCTGCATTAATGTCATCATTTGTCGCTGCTCTGTAATCCGATTTGACTCTGGCATCATATCTTGCTCTTGTAATTTTGACTCTTCATATCCTTCATCGTCAACCCATCTGAAAAACCCACAACCTCCTTCCCCCTACATAATTAGATCAATACATAATAGCCTTACTGAAATCCTACTAAAGAAAAGGAAAAATGATTTTTACCTTATAATTAGGGCACCCCCAAAATTTCTTGCCTGGATTTTCTGGTGTGCGTGAAACAAACACAGGGCATAAATCTTCACACCAACACTTCACTTCGATCTTCTTCTTGAATCGTGAATTCACATTCGAGCTTGATTTTGCAGAAGATGTTGGCATTTTGCGTGGGAGAATACTGCGGTCGAGAGGATGCAAGAAACAAGGGGGGAAGGGTTATGTGGGAGAGGGTTATAAAATGGGGCCCATGTTGTTTGACATGTCACCTAAAGTGCCAAATCAGCACATGGGTAACCGGCTACTAAGGGTCCAACCTGTTAAATGAGATATTTGATACATTTAGTGAAAGTATCCGACTTTAATACCCCAAAAATTCATCCAAGGGTAAAACCGACATTTTTTGGAAAACTTAAGGGCTTTTATGACAATTTCCCTACAAAAAACAGAAAATGTAAGTAAATTAAATTTCAAAACTTTCATTAGTAGCTTGTTGAATGGCGGATTGAACCTCAAATATCTATGTAATATATGGATGCGTCACATATGAAGATGAGAGAAAGAGAAGGTACAGGGTGGCAACTCGAATAGAAAGTGGCGATGCCGGATGAGACGGTGGCCAGTAGAGTCTACTGATTTTCTTGAAGAGACAAAGAGAAGGGCGGAGAAACAAAAGGTGAAAAGGTGAAAATGGTGGCGGAGCTTGTTTCAAAGTCCGACAAACATGGAAGTCCCGAACTGCACTACAACGCCTACCTACAAAGTCACACATTCTTCTTCCCCCAACCATCCATTTTTCTCCGTACTATCCCTCTGCCAAATAACGGAAGGCCAAGTCACAAAACATATCGGAGAAGAAAAAAAGGTCATCTTGAGGCGTTTAATGGTGGTAAAGGATATGGTGATTGCGACAAACGATTGATGTTGAGAGACAAAGGTTTAGGGTTTTTCTGATTGAAAATTCAAAATTGCAATTTAGTGCATTTTAAATAATGAATCAGTAATTTGGTTTCCAAAAGCAGATTGAGAAATTAGAGATTATGTAGTCGTGATTGGAGAAGGAACGGGTGAACAATAGAAGGAGGATCCTGATTTATTGCTAATTTCTTGAAATACGATCTATCCTAAATGGTCAAAATGACCGAAAAAAATTATTCTAGAGCTTTAGAAAGCTGCACTGTCGAAAACCTTTTTAAATAAAAATTAAACCCAAATTGAACACCAACGATAATGTGTTGGCTGAATTGGTTGACCAAAAAATTAAACTCAAATCACTCTAACCTGTATAGACGACAAAAAGACATTCTGAAAACCACACATAGCATAACAATAACATGAATAAGTAAAATTTCAGAAGGAACAATAAATGAAAATTTTGGAAAAAACCAAAACATTAGTGAACAAAAAAGTTTTAAAAAAACCAGATAGAACCCAAAAACACAACCATCAAAATCCCGACTCACAATCATCGAGAAGATAAAATTTTGATTTTTACTGAAAACGAAAGCATAGAAGAAAGATGAGCAAACGCTTGAAGATTTTCCCATGCACATGTTTAGAGTTAGGGCTTCATTCGCTATTTTGGATTATGAAGAAGAAGTATTTAAATGTTAACAATAGATGGATCACATAAAGCAAAAAAAAAAAAAAAGAACAAAGAAAGTATGCTCGTGAAACGCAAATCAAAGGGTTTACATTCTTTCTATGTGTTAGGGTTTAGAGAGAGCAATAAAGATGATGGCTCTTTACATATTAGAGATTAATCGGATATTGTCAAAAGAAGCTAATGGTAAAATGGTAAAACCAATTTTGGCTAAAAACAATTTTAGAAGAGCCATGTGGAAAAAAAAAGTCTTTTATTAAGATAGGAAGATAACCCGGTTTTTTTAGAAACCGTGTCCTATATAGCGGGTCTTATGTTGTAGTAGTGATTAAATATCCTCCTTACATTGTTTTCTTATCGAAATGTATTGAACTATATTAGTCGAATTCATAAACAATAACGACATATAGAGTTCATTATTTTTTTTTCTAAAAATTTTTTCTTTTGATTTTGACATTTGCGTTGATATAGTGAGTTAGAAGATAGGTAGAAACAAAAGATATTTCTCTCCTTTAAATGTTGAACTTATAAACAGCAGTGCGTAAAGACAAAACTCGGAAATTAATTAAAAAGGTTGCTACTTGAGCAAATGGTGTTCATGGTAGAAGACCATCTGTTGAGTTGAGGTAGTGGCGCATAAATTGAACTACTAGATCCCTCACTCCTTTTAGTATTAAAAAATTGTAGTTTTATTAGATACGATTATGATTTTATGACATACGCCCTTGATAACTAAGTTTATGAACACCTGCACTAATCTCATTTGCCAATGCAAATTTTTTAATTAACCTAATCAACAAAATATCTCTTATTCCCTTTTTGTGACGTATTGGTTCCATCTTATACGTGTCCCAAACGTCACAATCAACAATTATACTCATCGGATATGTTCAACATTGAATGTGTCACCTGATTGCATTACTAGTTGTCATTTCCCAATTCCTATGATACCCTTCAATAATTTTCACAACTATTGTTAACACTATCATAATGCTGGGCAATTTGGTCAATTACGTAGGATGGTGTTAATGAGGCGATCATGCTTTACATAGAAAGATAAATGGTTTTGATAAGGACCCTTGAGTTTATGATAGATGGTTGTGTGGTGGTATAAATACGTGCCAAATCAAGAAGTTTAGAGACAAAGTAAGAAAGCCATCAAACATTGCATTTCAAAATTAGTTGATTGATGTATTGGGGAATCATGGGAGGAAATGAAGAAAGGTGGAGGAAAGGGCCATGGACTGCTGAAGAAGATCGTTTGCTCATGCATCATGTCAGCTTGCATGGTGAAGGCCGTTGGAATTCCGTGGCTACTCTTGCTGGTACCATTTGGATTCTACACAAACGGGTTTAAGAGTAACAATTTTTTATATTTATTTTGTTTGGTGTTTTACTCATTATAGGGCTTAGAAGAAATGGAAAAAGTTGCAGACTAAGATGGGTGAACTATTTAAGACCAGACCTCAAAAGAGGAAGGATTACTCCTCATGAAGAAACCATCATTCTTGATTTACACGCTCGCTGGGGAAATAGGTTTGTATTTGTACTCTTTAAATACAAAACGATTCTATTTTTGTTTTCTGCATTTAGAAGCTCATATTATGAGCTTATTTTCTACAATTTGATTTAGATGGTCAACAATTGCAAGAAGCTTGCCAGGAAGAACGGATAATGAGATAAAAAATTACTGGCGAACCCATTTTAAGAAAAAAAGTAAAGTGGCATTAGACGAATCAGCAAAGCTGAAAATGCGACAGCTAAAAAGACAGAAGTTTCAACAAGAACAACGACAACAACAATTGCAACAACTTCAGATGCAACAAAATATTGCTGATATGAAAAGGATAATGTCCTTTCTTGAAGAAAGTGAGAACCAAGTAGAATATATGCCTCCAACGGTGGTTGGGAAACAAAAAGACAGAGCATCCAATGGATGTTGTTATGGTTCATCTTATGCACTGGAGACCTCCATGAGTGAGGATTTTGGTATGTGGGATGGTTTGTGGAACTTGGATGATGTGCATGGTCCTAATTTTCATGCTGCTAAAGCTAGCTAGCAACAAATGATATTCATATGTATGTATGTTGTGGCTAAGTAGCCACATATTATGTACTGTAATCATAACCATAAATTTCAAGAGTTATCATTAATGCCGTTCCAAAAAATAAAATAAATAAAGTAATCATCAATATAAAGAATTAGATATTGCGTATCAGATTAACTAAATGATAGTGTGCCCTTACTAATATTATTTTTAACGGACAAACTTTATTGATTCATCTCCCCGCATGTATTTTACACTATATAAGACGTGTTACTGTAAGGTGGCATAAATATCAATTGTTTAATTTATAAATTTATAAAAGATTTATATATTTATATATATTAAAAGCTTCGATAAAAACGCCACGCGTACATATGACTAACCATGTATGGTCAAAGATTCAAATAATGATACTTCTACGTTGGCCTAACAATTCGTTTGCAAATTTAATATATATAAAATTAAGCAGATATTTTTTTATTTGAAACTTCGAATTTTATAAATAGTTAAAGATCCTACTTAATTAAGAGAATGAAGGCAGGGAAAAAAGGGAATAACACAAAAATATACAAATGTTAAAAGGGCAACAAACTAGCTTAATCGATCCATTTTTTTTCAAACAGCAGGAAAACTTTTATAACTTAAAAAACGGCTATCTAGTACCTAGTAAAAAAAATACAAAATTAAGGCAGCATTTGGATGTGTAGCCACCTAGATTAGTTACCAAATGACTTCCAGCCCAGCGGTATCCGGTGTTGTGATCCCTCTTTGAGGTCGAGGGTTCAACTCCCACTGTGGAAATATGTGGAATAATTTAGGAGTAGTTTAGTTTTTGCCGTTCAAAAAAAAAAAAAAAAAAGAAACTAGATTAGTTGATACTAGCCTTAAAGTTCCTAACACGATCGGTTCCGAGATTTCGGAGGCCCTGTGCAGTTTAATAAAAAAAGAGGCCTTAAAATTTGAAATATCTAAATATTTAAGCAAAACAATTTGCAAAATAAATAAGTTAACATTATATATATATATATATATATATATATATATATATATATATATATATATATATATATATATATATATATATATATATATATATGTAACGTCCCAAAAATTCATATAAATTTTTATTTTTAAAACAATAAACTATACAAACGAGTTGTTCCCAAACCGATCAAAATGAATTTATTATTTAAACATCATAGTAAATATCGTAAATTGCCAATGCGGAAAACTTTGGTGGATGTGGTGCAGTCACGTCAGGCCCTTCCCTTTGGTACCGGAAGTACCTGAAACCATAAACATATAATTGTAAGCACAAAACTTAGTGAGTTCCCCAAAATACCACATATCATACATACAATGGAGATTGATATGTGTCAACCATAGTCTTGCCATTATGTCATAAGTTGTATCATAGTCTTTCCTTGCCAAGCCGGGTGCCAAAACCCTAGGTCTTATAGACAAGTACCAAGAGTTACCTCCTGATCTTCCATTAACGTATCACAAAGACAACT